TTTCTTGACTGCCGCGCCACTGGCCATTTCGTCCATGGCGATTTCGCCACTGGTGCAAATGGCCATTTCGCCACAGACGCGTTATTGGTGCAAGTGGCGATTTCGCCACACCCTCGCGCCAGTGGCGCAAGTGGCGATTTCGCCACACACGCGCGCCAGTGGCGCAAGTGGCGATTTCGCCAGACACGAGCGCCACTGGCGCAAGTGACGATTTCGTCACTGATGCGCCAGTGGCCGTTGCTTCATGCGCACTTCTTTCTCAGTTGCGCGTACGCCAAGTGCATCGCGGGCGCAATGCTGTACCCTCCGCAGTTGACGCGCGTAGCAGCTAATGTATAAGTTACGCTGCTGCAGCACTTGTCCTAGCGTTGCCTCCGTGCTTCTAGAGTGAGAATTAAGAATGAGTGAGAATTAAGAAAGAGTGAGAATTAAGAATGCGTGAGAAAAGGTGTGAACGGAAGTGGTTGGACGAGAATGAAGCGGAACTGAAAAGTTCCGAAATGAAGACGTGGGTGGAGGCCGAATGGCCGCCAACCCTCGTTATGTACTCGGGAAGAGGCATTCGCAGTTGCCTTGCTTCACTACAGTCAGTTGCGCTTTCACAATCTTTATTTTTAGAAAGTGTTTCACACTTTCAAAAAATTCCATATCAAACAACCAACTCTTCCTGCTGCCGCTGCTGCTGCTGCTGCTGCTGCTGCTCCTTCTCCGCAAGGGAGCTCTGCAGAAAATTGCCTAGCCACAGCCACTGGCGGCCTTTTCGAGGGATCGTGTGTGATTGCAATGCAATGCAAGTATCCATCGACCCTGCAAATTTGCTTCAGCAACCTTGTGCGAGGAGCCTTATACTAGGGCCGACCGTAGGCTTCAAATCGCAGCACCCTAGAGAGTAGAGAATTGATCGAGAGCCGAAAAGGATTATAATCTAGGACCGTACGATTTCAAATATGATATCGTGAGGTTTATATCGACTCTCACGAGATGACTGATCTCAAGTTGGCTGCTATTTCGTCGGACGAAGCCCCCCCATGGCAGCTTTCTCAGCTCATGACTCGAAACAGTCTTGGCTACTACCAGGTGTGGTATTTCTAGCGCTATTCGCGATAGCGGTAGTTCCGTTACTATTCTACAGCATCTTCATAGACCCGTATACGCTGTACACTGACCCACCAAGCCTCCACCTTTGGCACGGCGCGCTTTCCACGGCGAATCAATCCGGCGAACCGTCACTGAAAGCGAAAGAACAGGGTAACTCAAGCGCTGACGTGGCCACGAACCAGGAGAAATGCCAAGTTCCGGAAAATTCGGTAGGATACGATTCGATTTGCTGGTGGTCCGGGGACCATGGCGGATACAGTGGAGGCGACTCGTCGGGAGCCAACGGCGTGAAAGAATCGAATCATGGCGACACTCTGCAGAATGGTTCAACGCAGCAGAATGGTAGCACGCAGGCAGGGAACGCGGAGGATAGTTTTCAAGAGCGACGAAGAGGAGGAGTTTTGATTTTCGGCGGGGGTTGTTCCCGTTGCACGGTGGGCGAGCTTTGCGCTTTCGAGATCGCCGTCAGACCTCCCGCCAGATGGGTCCCTCCTCCTAACGGCCGGCTGACCCCGATAGCACAAGACAAAATTGCGTGGTCGAAGAGATATAGAGGCGGCGGCGCCGGCAGCAGCAGCAGCAACAGCGCGCGGATAGGTATGGGTGGGTTGCGCGAGTCGCTGGTGGTGAGGCTGATGGGCCCCTCCTTGGCTATAGCGGATGTGACTACAGAGGACGGTGACGTCACGCGCTGGCGAGTCACGTACCGCGTGTGGGACGCTGGTGACTACAGGTGAGGCTTGCGCGGAGGGGGAGGGGGAGGGAAGGAGGGAGGGGGAAGGAAGGATTGAGGGAGGAAAAGGGGAAGTTGGGGAGGGGAAGAGTGGTGGAGGGGGACGAGGAAGGAGGGAGGAGGCAGGGAACGTGGAAGGAGGGGACTGGGGGTAACGGGTGTGCAGGTGAAGGGGGTTGAGAGAGGGGATGGGAAAAAGGGGAGTGCAGGGATGGGTTGATTCGTGCTTCTTATTCCGTTCCCTCCCCATCCGTTTCTCTCCACTTCAGTTAAGCCTTCACATGCTGACAACTGATAATCCCATATGCCCCTCTTTCTTTCGTCTCCACTCCTCTCCACCCCCCAATCATTCAGTGTCCTGGTCCAATCAGAGTGTGACACGCTGGACTATTCTTCTGACTACTTGCTTCGGGTTCGTAAGACAAAATCGCATGTCATGGCCGAATGGGTTCTCACTGTCCTCCCACCCACCAAACCATCCACCGAACCAGTTCTCAAACCATCTACCGAGCCTGCTACCGAGCCGTTCACCAAATCAGTTACCAACCAATCCACCGAACCAGCTACCGAACTAGAACCAGCTTCTACCACAGAGTCCCAACCCAACAACAGATCCTCTCGCGATTCAACGTACGGTCCAGATTCACCGTGCGACCATGCCATCCACGGCCGGTGGCTATTCAACGCACAGAAGCGGGCCTACGAGTGGCAACTCTACCCCTGCGCGCACCCCCTCCCCCCCGCCTCTCAGTGGCTCTCCGCCCTCCAATCCCGGGGTATTTCCGAGATTAACTTTGTCGGGGATTCTCACCTGCGCTTCCTCTGCCACCACCTCTTTTTCCTCCTCACCGGCAAGGCCAATGCGTCCACTGTTAAGCTCCATGAATATCATCAGTTGGTTGTGCCGCCCCCTAGCCCAGATTTGCAGCCTCTGACGCTCAACTTCTATTGGATCGGAGGGATTTACATCGACGGGCCATTTGGCTGCAGGTGTAGTGTGGCAGCAACGCTTTTTTCTTTCCATTTTCCTTCGCATTTGTTTACAAAATCTATTATATTCCCTGGTTTTCATCCTTCATTTCGTGGCGTTCAGTTCTCATCTCAGTTGAGTAGCAGTGCATTTGCTGCCGTTGCTTGCACCTGCATCCCCCGTGTGGCTCGATCTCGGAGAGTTCAAGGCCCATTCCTTGTGGAATAACCACACTCCATTCTCCATCCTCTCAGAAGAAGGGAAGTGAACACACTCCACGTGCCTTTCCGTCCTTCCTGCCACCCTTCCCTTGACTGTAATCACCGTGCAGCTATAAGAACGTCACGGCATTTGAGCTGCTCACGTTTCCAAACATTTCCACGACAGCCAATGTGACGCTTGTAGACGGTGGTTTCTGGATGACCACTTTCTGTGCCGAGCCGGAGAACGCGTTGGGGTATTACCTTCCCAACTATCTGCAGTGGGTTTACTCTCAGAAGGAACTGGCAAAGCAGGCGCAGCGGCAGCCGCAGCAGCAGCAACAGAAGGTGCCTGCCAGGGCAGGCCCTTGGTTTCTGTTCCGAAGCATCCCTCCAAAACGGCTTAATGACTTTTGTTACGACGGAACAAACACGCTCATTTCACACATGAACGGAGTTGTTGCGCGGCACTTGGGACGGTACGGGCTGCCGCTTCTCATTGATTGGCTGATCGCAGCCCCTCGCCCCGACGATACATGCGGGCCAAAGGATCCGCACCACACCTGCTTTGTTGAAGCTGCAAAAGGCGAGAATAAGGAAACGGATGGGAGGTTTCTGGGGGCTGTGGGAGAAGCCATGGTGTGGAATTTGATTTACCATCTCTTGTATAATTTGACATGAATATGCTCACGTTTTTTCTAGTATGTGTGGTAAGTATCTTGTAAGGAATGTGAAAGTGGAACATCTTGTAAGCATGGAATTCCGCCTGCTTGGTGAACTCAGGCGAAATTGGAAAATCTACTGGTTTCGCACAGTTATTCCAGCCTCGCACGATCGTCACTGACGCATATTTCGTTCGCGCTCTTCGCATATGCGCAGTTGTGCAGCGATAACCGTCTCTGCGAGGAACCCAACAGTCTTCCCAAATCCCAAGGTCGATCGAGCCAGATTCAAGAGACAAGCACTGCTGCTGCGTTTGCCTTTCCTCGTCGATTTCTGTTCTTCCTGCTTGCGACACAGTGGTTTACTGACAAGCGCTTGTCTGCTGCGATCCGTCGTGCTCGCCTGTCGTTATTCGGGTAGACAAACTCTCTGGTGGCAAACGTTGATGCTGGACGCGACGCGGATCATGCGTGTCGTTAGACACGCGGATTGCTTTCTAACCGTCTCTGCAGTTCTGTTTCTGCGCGAAAGTCTGGTAGCAAAACGAGGACTCTACGGAAAGACATGAGGAGTCAACGAGCAGGGACTTCAAAGGAAGGGACGCTGATCTGGTGGTAGTTAGCGCTGTCGTTTCGGATTACATAATGTCGGCAGATCGAGCCGCTCGTGAGGTATCTGATTGTCTCTGTCGTACCCTCCGACCCTATACTCTTCTGCGACTCTTGGCTTGTCCCGCCAGCCGCATGAACCGCTCTACGCCGAGACTACGACTCATTAACACAAAGAGAGTATTTCGTGGTGATCACTCCGAGTCAAAGTCTTCGCCACAGCGACGACAGCGGCGGCATTCGGAACGGCCGCGACGTGCGAGCGACGATTGCGATGCACCTTCCATCGCATCACTCGCCGCCTCGCTTCCCGCAGACCCTTCGCCTCCTCCTTCATCGCGTCGCCTCGAGCTAGTAGCTCTTCCTCCACGCCACACATCCGACGCCGAGTCGCGGATCTCTCCTTAACCACCTCTTCTCCAAACCCCTGCAGCTGTGCACGCCTCTTCCACCGCCTATAAAGCCGACGCCTTGTGCAGCCATGGATTCATCAGCTCCACCCCGCCTCAATCAGCTTCTTCTCCCTTCAATCTCCTCCTCAAAAAGCCGCTTGCAGCAGCCTCTCAGCTCGAGCTCCTGCTCCTGCTCCTGCTCGAGCCGACTTTTGAGCCGACTCAGAGGTCACTTCTGTGCCTCCCCTCATGGCGACGGCTGGCATGCGCGTGCTGGTGCTGGCGGCGCTGGCGGTGGGGCTGCTGGCGGCGGCGGTGAGTGGAGCGCGGGACGCCATGAAGGTAGCCAGGGGCCTCGTCCCATCGGAGGGGGGCGCGCCTGGCGGGGCGGGGGCGGCGGGGCAGCAGAGGAAGGGCGCGCGCATTCTGGCGGCTGAGACCTTCGCTCACAACGCCCCTCTGCCCGGCTACCTCGACCATATCCCCCGCCGCCAGGCCCTTGCCACCTGTACGCACTGCTGCTCCCTCCTCTCGCTCTCTTTCTGCTTCTTCCCACTGCCATCCCTTCTCCCCTAGGCTCTCATTTCTCTGCTCCCCTTGCCTCTCATCCTTCTGCTCCCCTTGCCTCTCATATCTCTGTTCCCTTTGCCTCTCATCCCTCTGCTCCCCTGCTCATTCCTCTGCTCCCCACTCACTTCTCCCCGTTCCCATTTCCCCTCTGCCCTCCCTCCTCCCAGCGTGTGGGCGCACGACGGTGACGATCCGCTCGCAGTACCTGGGGCCGTACGACCTGCACAACGACATCTACAACATGACCTTCTACAACGGTTGCGCCTACAACGTCACCAGCCCGCTGCGCGTGTGGCAGTGCTTCAACTTCGGCAACGTGTGGGAGGGCATCCTCGACAACCCCGCGCCCAACCCCACGCAGTACCAGCAAGGCGAGATCTTTGTGCAGACCACGCCGGGGTACTGTGAGATGCGCATGAACCGCGGTGCTAGCGGCACTCTGCAGATGCTCCCCGGGGAGACGGTGAACATTGTGTATGCGTACTTGTGGGACTTCCGGCCCTGCGTGCAGGAGCTGCGCTTCGGCAACGGCAACAGCTACTCCATGACCAACACCACTGAGTGCACGCTTGCAGCTGTCATTTAGACCTTTCGTGTGACTCACGTTGCTCTTTCTCAAAAAGTTTAGAGGTTTGATAGCATGCACATGATGGATGTGACTTGTGTGGTGCAGAAGAAATTTGATGCGTTGAGTTGGTGGAGGGGGGAAGAGGTTGGGGGATAGGTAATAATGTAAAAGAGTGTAACTGGAACTTTCTTGAATCCTATTCACGTTCGTGAGACGATTTTCAATGCTGAATTGGTAACACTCTTGCCTCGCGTAATTCGAAATAGCCACTAGCCAACTTTCGAAACGTGGAAGGCGAGGCGGGCGAAAGCGCTACCACTGTGTACGAATTTTCTCGTCACTACTCCAACCTTCACAAAGCGAAGCGGGCGAAAGTGTCAAAGATATGCATATGTTATATTTGTGGGTAAGCTGTAGTGGGGTAGATACTGTGGGGTATAACCCCTTAGGATTTTCTCCTTGTACCAACTCTCTCGATAGTCATCTTCACTCATGCCTAGATTCTAAGATGGTATCTAGAGCCTAGAGGTCTTTAGGACCTAAGATTAGGGCCCACCCGTTACCACGTTACCTCACTTGCCTGCCTGCCTTGCCTACTGCCCGCGCGCGCCTCGGCTGCACGCGCGCGGCCCCTTTTTTTTCCCGCGCGCCCCACTTAAGCAGCCCGCACGCGGCCCGTTTAGGCCCGTTTTCGGCCCCGCGCGCCACGTCAGCCGCCCGCGCAGCCTGCCGCCGGCCCCGCACGTCGCCTCCTCCGGTGTGCAGCCCGCGCGCAGCCCGCTTAGGCCCCGCCGCACGCAGCCCGTCGCCACGCGCAGCCAGAAGCCGAGCGCAGCCCACAGCCGCGCGCAGCCCGTCACCACGCGCAGCCAGCAGCCACACGCAGCCCACAGCCACGCGCAGCCCTTAGCCACGCGTGCCCTGCCAGTGTGCCGCCCGTGAGACGCGCGCCTGTTTGTCTTAACCTGCCTGGAGAGCCTGCCTTGAGTGCCTGCCTGACAAGAGCACCTGCCTGCCTTGAGTGCCTGCCTGCCTTGAGCTGCCTTGCATGCACTGCTACTATGGCGACGCTTAATGTGCTCGAGTTCGATCCTGACGGTCGCCCAGTAGAGTTTCCCACCTGGCTTGACGACCTGCAACTGTTCCTTCTGACTGATGCCAAGGACGGTGTTTGCCTGTACGATTACGTGTCTGGCACTGCCGTTGCTCCTGCTGACACTGAGACTGCTCTAGCCCGCTCCCAGTGGCAGACCCGCGATGCTGCTGCGCGCCTAGCTATTCGCAACCATCTGCCGATCACAGAGCGAGCGCATTTTAGCCAGCACAAGACTGCCAAGGCGCTGTACGACGCTGTAGTTGCCCGCTACTCTTCCCCGGCCACTGCAGCCCTCGGTCGACTTATGCTACCCTACCTGTTCCCTGACCTGTCCTCGTTTACCACCGCTGAGGACCTCATCTCTCACCTACGCGCTAGTGACACTCGCCTTCGTGCCGCCCTTCCAGCCGAGTTCCTCGCAGAGAACCACCCCCCGATGTACTTTACTCTCTACTTCCTCATCACCCGCCTCCCTGACACTCTTCGCTCAGTCAGGGATCACTTCCTCGCCCTTGACCCCCATTCTCTCACTGTCGACGACCTCGAGAAGCACCTCCTAGCAGCCGAGAAGAACATTGTAGCTGTAGGTGCTGCTCGTGGTACTCCCCGCACCCCCCTCTTTGAGGGGTGCTCCCCCTCCCCTCTTACCTCCTCCTACGCCTCCGCAGCTGCTGCTGTCGACCTCCTCGGTGCTGAGCAGGTCGCAGCTGCTTCCGCTCCTAGTGGGAAGCGCAGCGGCTCCAGGGAAGGCAAGGGTGGCAGGGGTGGCGGATGTGGCGGTGGAGGGGGCGGTGGTGTAGGCGGCGGGGGAGGTGGAGGTGGTGGAGGTGGTAGTGGGGGCGGTGGTGGTGCCGGGAGCGGTGGCGGTGGCGGCGGCGGTGGTGGCGGAGGGGGGAGTGGTGGTGGCAGCGGTGGTGGGGGCTTGGGTGACACCCGTGGTGGCCAGGGGCAGCAGCAGCCCTTCAGCGCTTCAGCTTCACCTGGTCCTCGGCACAGGCCACTCCTCTGGCTATAGGTCACTAACTCTCAGCTCCACCTTCGGACGAGTCCGTAGAGCCGAGTGGTCCTTACCCAGAGCTAGTTGGCTGCCTCATGTACCTGATGACCTGCACTCGTCCTGACCTTGCGTACCCTGTTGGCCTTCTGGCTCGCTACGTGGCTCCTGGTCAGCACCGAAAGGTGCACATGGATGCTGCTAAGAGGGTAATACGCTACTTGTGCAGTACATCGGGCATGTGGCTCGTGCTTGGAGGACGGGGCGACGTTGTCCTCACTGGTCACTCGGACGCTTCTTGGGTTGACGACCAGGCTACGCAGCGGTCGTCACAGGGTTACACCTTCAGTCTTGGCTCTGGCTCTGTTTCTTGGCGGTCTACGCGCTCGTCTTCTGTTCTCAGCTCCACTTGTGAGGCTGAGATCTACGCCACAGCCATGGCTGCACAGGAGTTACGCTGGCTCACCTACCTGCTGACCGACTTGGGAGAGAGGCCTCGTTCTCCTCCAGTTCTGTACGTCGACAACAAGGCAGCCATTGCCTTGTGTCAGGAGCACAGACTGGAGCACAGAACGAAGCACATCGCTCTGCGTTACTTCCTGGCTCGAGAGTTGCAGCAGCGGGGTCAGCTTCGTCTTGCTCACGTGGCCACTCGGGCCAACACTGTTGATATATTCACCAAGGCACTTCCGTCTGGTGATCATCAGCGCTTTTGTACTTTGTTGGGCCTTGTGCCTACGTTTCCACACTTGCTCTAGACTCTGCTTGTACTCTGATCTATATATATATACCTGCATGCTTGCTCTTGCTAGGTAGAGATCACTGTACTGTTCTTGTTGCATATATACCTCTGCATGTGAACTGGCCTTGTGGCATGTTGCTTGTGCTCAGTGTGTGTGGTGACGTTGTGATCCACCCTGAGCTTGCTTTGCTTTTCTTGACTGGTCTTGTGACCTCTTGCTCTCCCCCACTTTGCCTATGGGGGTGTGTCAAAGATATGCATATGTTATATTTGTGGGTAGGCTGTAGTGGGGTAGATACTGTGGGGTATAACCCCTTAGGGTTTTCTCCTTGTACCAACTCTCTCGATAGTCATCTTCACTCATGCCTAGATTCTAAGAGAAAGCGGTGTTCACAACGCCACAACACGTACGCCAATCTTCACTCGTCACCATGGTCATTTTAGTGACCAGGTATAGTAACTAGAAAATTGGGTCAGCCTAGTAAAGCTTTCCTGTAGTTTTTACCCCGTCACTTCCGCTCCTTACCACTCCCACGATGGTTTGCAGCCACGATGCTTACTTTGTAGCGCGTACGAGTCTCAGCGAATGTCGCAAACTCTCATAACGAACATGCATTGACTATAATCGGTGTTGTTTCTTCCAAATAGTTTCCTCGACGGATTCGAGGCTTCGCGAATGTGGAAGGCGAGCTGGAAGGGCAACACCACGAATATACTGAAGGTGATTATAGCAAACACTGAGAGTGATTATTGTTAGAAACCTAAGTTGACTTAGGACTTGGGTTGAGGGTAGAACGAGAGTTACGAGAGGAAGGGGTCGAGAGATTAGCCAAAAGAGGTTGTTCACTATAGAGCGAGCAGTACAAATAGGCAAGCATGAGAGTGCACCACCAAACAAGAACATAGAGCTACACTAGGTCTACACTACAGGCAGTTATAGTAATGTATACAAGTACATTCTGACACACCCCCTAACTGCCTGCAGTGAAGAACCATGTGCAGAAACAGCCCCGGAAGGGGTACACCAAGCGCAGCGGAAGACGGTAGAGAGGAATGCGAGGAGGAGGAGACGAGAGAGAGAGAGGGGAGAGGAGAGGAATGAGGAGAGGAGGTGGGGGGGCCACGCGGCGAGCCCCTCTTACGAACCCCCGTTTTACGAAGGGGGGGGATGAGAGAGGGATGAGGAGAGGAGGTGGGGGAGCCACGCGGCGAGCCCCTCTTACGAACCCCCTGTTTACAAGGGGGGGTGGTGAGAGAGGGAGGAGAGGAGGTGGGGGGGAGCCTAGCGCGGCGAGCCCCTCTTACTAACCCCCTAATTCCACGCCCCCTTTCAGCCACCCCCCTTGTCAACCTCACCCCCCTTGTCAACCGCCCCTGGAACCTCACGTCTTCCCCCCACCCTTCCTCCAACGCCACCCCCTCACCCTCCCCCCCCCCCCTCCCCCCCACCCCAGGAGGGGCGACAGGAAGAGAGAGGAGGTGGGCTGGCGCATGCTGGTCATCCCTGCCACCCCCTCACCCTCCCCCCCACCCCACTGCAGTAGGAGTGGAGAGGTGGAGGGACGGCTGTTGGCGTGTCACACCCCCCACCCCCACACCCTCCCCCCACCCCTTTCACGGCTGCACCAGCAGCAGGGAGAGGGAGAAGGCTGGCGGCGGCGTAGCGCAGCAGCAGAGTGGCGTCAACCACCCCCGCCCCCCAACACCCTCCCCCCCCCCCTGGTGCACGAGCAGCAGTGAGAAAGGGGAAAAATGGCGGGCGAGGGTGCAGCAGGCGGCTGCAGTTGCGCGTGTGGCTGCAGCTGCAGGTGTCGCTGCAGTCGCGCGAGAGGTTGCTGCTGCGCGTGCGGCTGCAGCTGCGCAATTCGCTGCAGTCGCGCGCGTGACTGGTGACGTGTGTGCAGCTGCGCGTTCGCGGTTGCGTGCGTGCGGCTGTGCGCACTGCGCACCGCTGGACGGGGACGGGACGGGCCGGGGCAGCGAGGGACGGACGGGCTGCGACGAGGGGGCCGAAACGGGGCCGCATCTGGCGCCATCGCGCAGCTCGCCGTCATGGGCAGCGTGACGGACGGAAGCTGCGCGACGGGCAGCACGAAGCAGGGATCGAATGGGGGCGAAGGCGCCATGCAGGAGCGAGAAAGTAACAGCGGTGGGCCCATGGACAACAGGTCTTAGGAGCTTAAGTG